TCCCCACAGAAGGTATACACAGTAACTGACCCAGAGCAGTCATTCAAACACTTGTTGAATAAATACCGTATGAGCTGGCACTGTTCAATGTTTGCTGAATCAATTAACCTAGCTAAAGGTGATTGTCAGAGCTGAGGCCTGGAAGTAAATACATCCTGGCTGCCCCAGGATAGCCGTCCGTGTCCCTCCTGCCAGCCCAGGGTATTAGTTTCAACCAAGCCCCACCCACCTGCTCTTAGCTCCAGCCTAGTTCCAGGAGCCACCCTCAGCTAAAATTAGCATAGCTACCAAGATGGCCAGGCCATTTATAGCCTTGGAGGCAGCAGCAACTAATTGGGTGGGCTGGCTGGACTCAGACCTGCCACTCCAAAGAGGCTGATTGAAAAGAGAGCCTGCACTCTGCATAGGTGCCTATCCTCCAGGACCTTATTCCAGTGAAACCAGTTTCTGATTAAAGACCCTCAAAACCACCTGTAATGGCAGCCAAACTCCAGAGTCAACCTGAGGTCTCTCACACAACACACATTCTATTGAACATCTTAGTTTCTGAAAGCAATACCCTAGAGTCTAGAGGTTCCTGGTATTCATTTTGAGCCAGCTTCAAAAATGTAGGCACTAGAATAACACAGCAATAGACAGATCTTTCCTGAGAAAATGATTTAGTACAGCTAGGTCTTCCGGTATTTTAAAAAGCAAAAAGTGAGCCGGGCGTTGGTGGTTCACGCCTTTAATCCCAGCACTCGGGAGGCAGAGGCAGGCGGATCTCTGTGAGTTCGAGCCCAGCCTGGTCTACAAGAGCTAGTTCCAGGACAGCCTCCAAAGCCACAGAGAAACCCTGTCTCCAAAAACCAAAAAAAAAAAAAAAAAAAAGCAAAAAGTGACAGGGATGTTCTCTCCACTGCCCAATGAGAGCACTATAAGCTCAGCATTCAGAAGTTTTGTTGGTCTGGTTGGTGGGTGGATTGGTTTGGTTTCAGTGTTGAATGAATATCAAACCCAGAATATCATGTGTACTAGAAAAGCACTCTATCAACTAAGTTACCAATAACCTCAGCCCCCATGTTCAGAGTTTTGTTGAGTTTTGGATTTTTATAGATTTGTTTATTTTTATTTTATGTGTGTGTTTTACCTGCATTATTTATGCACACCAACTGTATGCTGGGTGCCTTCAAGGGTCATAAAGAGGTTAGCAGAGCCCTGGAACAGGAATTAAGGATGATTGTGAGCAACCATGTGAGCATTGAAAACAGAACCAGATTCTCTACAGGAGCAGCAAGTATTCTCAGCAGCTGGGTCATCTCTTTTACCCCTGGTCAGGGTTTTATGTGTTGGGGTTTTGTTTTGTTTTGGCTTATTTTAGTTTTGTTTTTTGAGACAGGATTTCTCTGTGTAACAGCTCTAGCTGTCCTGGAACCCACTCTGTAGAGCAGGCTGGTCTCGAACTCACAGAGATCCACCTGTCTCTCCCTCCCAAGTGCTGGGATTAAGGCAAACCACCACTGCCCAACTGGGTTTGTTTGGTATAGATGGGGAAGTCATTGAGTATTTCTTTCTTTTTAAGTTTTTTTTTTTTTTAATTATGTATTCAATGTTTTTCCTGCATGTATGCCTGCATGCCAGAAGAGGGCACCAGATCTCATTATAGATGGTTGTGAGCCACCATATGGTTGCTGGGAATTGAACTCAGGACCTCTGGAAGAGCAGTCAATGCTCTTAACCTCTGAGCCATCTCTCTAGCCCAAGTATTTCTTTCTTTAAGTGGTGCCAGAAATGGAACCCAAGACCTTTCATACACTAACCAAGCACTCTACCACTAAGCTATAGTGCACTAAACTTTTTTTTTTTTTTTTTTTTTTTTTTTTTTTTTTTTTTGAGGCAGTCTTCTCTATGTATTCCTATCAGCCTGGAACTCACTGTGTAAACCAGGCTGGCCTAGAACTCACAGAAATTTACCTGCCTCTACCTCTGCCACTTGAGTGCTGGAACTAAAGGCATGTTCCACCATACCTGGACCCTATAAAGACTTTAACAAACCCTTAGAATCAAATTTTATGACTGACTAAAAAGAAATGGACTGCATATACATCCAAAATGGGGTAGGGTTGAATTCTTTCATCAACGCTCTCCAGAAGAAAAAAAAAGCACCCCCCTTTTCTTGGACCTCAGATACAGAATCACCAGGGCCTGCCTAATCGCCAGAAAGAAAGCAACATTCTCTAGGCCCCACCTAGTACTTTTTTAACAGGATAGAACCTGAGAAGATGGAAGAAGTCCAGGACTTATGCATCAGAACACCTACTTCAAATACCAAGCAAAGAACCTAGTGTCTGTCTGTCTCTTTGTCTTAATTTGTGTGTTTGTGTGTGTGTGTGTGGCATGCGCACGTGTATGTATGATGTGCATTTGAGGGCACATGTGCCATGATGCACATATGGAAGTCAGAAGACAACTTCGTGGAGTCAGTTCTTTCTTTGCACCTTTACCTGGGTCCCAGGGATTGAGCTTAGGTCACCAGATATGCACAGCCAGAGCCTTTACTTGCTGAGCTTTCTTGATAGCCCAAGGCATTTATTCACATGTTAAAATGAGGATTATTACCCTTCCCTGTATTTTAATAGGGCTATTGTGAATGTAACTGTAAAATACAAGCTGTACACAGCACATAAATTTACCAGTTATGTTGAATCTCTGGCTGAGAAAAGTGGTAGCTAGCCAGGCTTGGTGTTCTGTGCCCTGTAGTGCAGTACTTAAATTGTGGAGGCAGGAATATCAACAGTTCAAGACCTGCTTCAGCTACATTTTTAAGTTGAAGGCCAACCTAGGCTACTGAAAACCCTATCTCAAAAGAAGAAGAGGGAGAGGGAGGGGAGGTGATAGCTTTAACAAGTAAAAGTCCTGTGTTCTGTGGACATATGTGGACATATAGGGGTTGTAAAGGCTTCAAGAATGCTTGGCCAAGCTGGGCGGTGGTGGCCCACACCTTTAACCCCAGTACTTGGAAGGCAGAAGCAGGTGGATCTCCGTGAGTTTGAGGCCAGCCTGGTCTACAGAACTAGTTCCAGGACAGTTAGGACTGTTACAAAGAGAAACCCTATCTGAAAAAAAAAAAAAAGAGTCCCTTGGCTATATAGACAGTTTCTCCCCCAAACCCTTTTGAAGAGCTCAGGCTAATGACACTTCTTTGAAAAAATAAGTCCCTGCCTGAGCCAAAGTTCTATAGTCACCCAAGGAGACGAGATAACAAAACAATACTGGTAGAAGACTCTCATTCCCACAAAAACCTTAGGAATCCCCAACACCCAGAGGCTCTGAGACCTTCCTCTCTGGAAAATAATTACTATAACAACAGAAGCCAATTCCTGAACTAAGAGGAAATAAAGATGAAAAGAGAGGCCTTTATAATATAATCTGAAAAGCCAGTCATCTAAAATATGATGTATAAGGAATGTCTCCATAATTCAAGTCATGAGATATTCCTGAGGAATGCTAGAATGCTTCTCTATCTTATGCAACACACACACACACACACACACACACACACACACTCTCTCTCTCTCTCTCTCTCTCTCTCTCTCTCTCTCTCTCTAAAAGTCAACTTCCTAAAGGCTAGCTCATGCCTGAATCTCAAAGCTGCATCCTTCTAGCTTAAAACTAAAGTACAGAACATCTCTCAAAAAGGTTCATTTTATGCCATACTTGCATATTCTGAAGTGAAAACAAAAGAATAAATTATCAATTAGAAGAAACAAGGATGTCTGTCACTGGGAGAGCAGAAATGCTACTCATGGTTACTTCACAATTCACCCAATCTTTCCCTTCACAGCCCAGTGAAGAACATTTAAACTAAGTTTCAGAGGCCTGGGAAACTTCCTATGGAGAGGAAGGACTCGTTTGCAGGAATGATCGATCTATCCTAAAAGCAACAGCCCAAATTCTATCCTTATACATAGGACAGCCCTGGCCTCATATGAAAACATGCCCTTGAAGCACCTAAAATTATACCCAACTCTGTCAAGAAAGCTAAAAGAGCACAACCCAAGAAAAAATCTACCACTAATGCAATCCATGAAACTCTTCACCCACCATGATTTATACTTTTCCTACTTCTATCAGCAGATACCCACTGAGACATCCCCTCACTTAAGCTTGCCTATCTTCAAACACCCCAGCTATTCCTCTACCCCCAAGCCTTCAAGTCACAGTTTTTTGGTAGATCGAAGTAACAGGTGAGAAATAAAAAAAGAGAACTGATGTACTTCTAAGCTATATGTAAAAATGATTCCTTTCTACTGCAAGAGCATATTCCACAGCTACTGTTGCCGAACAAGGCTCCACAAGTATGCAGGAAAAATAAGGTCAGGTCAAAAATACTAACATGGAATCCTCACTCTCATCATCCAGACGAAACAGAGTAAGTCAACAAGTGGTCCCAGGATTTTTTATTACGAAGTCAAGAAAGGGCCATTTAACTCCCTAGTGGTAAACAGGGTTCCAGCTAAGGACTTGTTTTGATATTCTACATTGGCAAAACCAAAAGACAAATTACCTGAGGGAAAGGAGGGACTAGGATTCTCACAGTGGTTAGAACAGAAAAGCACAACTGAACACCTGGCTATACTTTAACAGCCAACCCAGCCCAGATCTTCCCGGCCCATCCCAAGTGGCCAATCCACCACCACCGCCCACCCCCTCAAGTGATGAAACTGTCTAAAAGCAATTTTAACACCTGGGAAGGCCACTCTTCCCGACAAGAAGTCCTGAATGGAGACTTAACCTTGCTGATCTGAAAAAGTCGAAGTGCCCCAAAGGTTTCTCACTACCACCAAAACATCCAGAAGAAAGTTGTCCAAGGGAAATAGTAACATTGGGCATGGCTGCTACACAGAAAGAACTTCTTGGACTACTGAGAGTACACAGTACTATGTGTGTATCCTCCACCAACCTCCCATGTGCGGAGATTCTATTTGCCCACTTCGGGCCACTCAGTTGTGAGGCCTTACCTGCTTCAGTGGACTCCTCTGAAGTCGTCCCAGAGCCGGCTCCTGTATTCTTTTCGCTGTGACTATGGCTAAGGCTCTGGCCCTGATGCAGGAGGAGCCCCCAAAGAAGCCACAGGGCAAGACGGGCGCACACATCCATGACTGTAAGTCTCAGTCAACATGCGCTTGATGTAGACACCTTTGGGGATCCCAGAAGCAGATCCCAGAAGCAAATCCCAGAGTCGGGGAATGCAGCCGATGATTCCCAGGCAAGATGCCCTCGCGGCACCACAGCTGTCCAGCCACCTGCGGGCTTGCCTCCTCCAACAGCCGAAGGTCAAGTGCTCCAAGTTTGGGCGCAGAAGGACCGGACCCTCCGGTCCAACAGTGGGTCCGCCGGGGCTTCGGCGGCCTGAGCTCTAGCTGCTTCCGGAGAGTTTGGGCAGGGTGGCTGTGGGGCCGCTGTCAGCTCCGCAGCCTGCTGCACCCCTGCGGGAGGAGGCGGGCAGGATCTCCCGCCCGCACTGAGGTGGGGGAGGGAAAGAAGGGAGGAGAGAAGGGGGGCACCTGACCTCGCCCCGCGGACCAGCGGTGAGCGACAGCAGCTAGGACTTCAACGTGCGACCTGCAGGCCCCAGAGGACACCGAGGTCTCCGGGATCCTAAGACTCCTAG